AATGTCTGCGATCGAACCATGCGTTGTGTGTTTCTCATCAATTTGAAGATCATAAAAGCTATGTCTCTTATCTTTGTGGCGTTAGATTGTTGTCAATTGAAAAGAAGGGTTCTGAAATAAATTACTAACAATTTGATGTAGTATTACAAATACTTTTCAAAAGAACTATTTACGTGTGTATACACACACTCATTACTCGTTTAAAGGTAAAATATAATTATAAATGATATCCTCAAAGGTTTGAAGTTTCAACTGAAAATGAAAGCATCAGAACAAAAAAAAAATTCAACCAAATGAACAGTGAAGTGATTGGTATAGCTAAGCTATCCAACCATTTTACCAACGAACGAATCAACAAAAAAAAAATATATATATATATCCAATGCAAAAAAAAAGAAAATTGTATGCAATTTGATCTTACAAAGAAATGATGATCAAACAAATGATATTGGCAAACTTATAATAAGAATTCAGAGAGATGCAAAAGTGTATTCCTTTCTTTTCCCTACTCTTTGTTTCTAAAACATGAACAAACATAATTTCAAGTAATTTTGAGTTATCAAAAGAAAAAGAAAAAGAAAAACAAATCATCCACCACTAATGATGTACAAAAAGAACAAAGGGAATTTTGTAATATCTCGATCCAAAAACGACGACGTTTTTCGAATTTTGACCGACAAGTTTTTTTTTCCGATCAATGACCTTTGTATTTAGGGCTAGGTAGCGGCACAGGCGTCGGAGATACCGGAAACCCTAATTGACCAGACGTTGGAGATAAAAGTATGCTCGGCGACAGTAACCCGTACGGCGATTTAGGCGAATTTAAACATCCGAATGATTGTTGCGCCGGAATCGATGTCGGCACCACCGTCTGCGACACTGTTCCTGGAGGATGTGGAGGAAGACCACCGTTGTTTTGCGGCGGCGGAGCATTTTCCTGTTGCTGCTGTTGTTGGTACCAGCGAGGCGAAACCAAAGGAGCTAACGGAGACAAACCAGAAATCTCTTTCCGATTCGAATCGATTGCGAACATCGAGTTCTGAAGGTACCGCATGTAAGAAGACACCGGAGATTCCGCCGCCGCGTGAACCGGTGGAAGCGGTGGTAGTGGAGAAAGCGGAGCCGTTGGTCTAGGGATAAATCCTCCGGTCCAGTTATGATGATGATTAGGGATAAGTGCGTCGTTTAGCAAACTAGGAGGACGATTGATAACGTGAGCCAAAGGAGGAGGACGGATCTTGTGTAAACGCGAGCTCTGTTGAGCCTTAGGGTTATGAATCGTCGGTTGTTGCGGCGGAGCAGAGATCCGTTCATGTGCAGGTGAACCGGTGAGTTTTTGAACAACATCTCTGAAATCGTTTT